CGTCCCGCGTCCTAGACGCATAATTTTCCCGCGGGACGCACAGTTCCAAATAATGTGCGTTTTTGGGACGCAAGGAAATTTCTCAACCAAAACAAAAAAAACATACGGTAAATCTTTTTTCCCAGCGACGATCGCAGTTTGACCATCGCTGCCATTGTTGTTTTGATCTTGCGTTAAGTAATCTCGCGTGATGAGATTTCCGTTCTCCCGAGACGAGATTGGCGAAATCGGCCTAAACCTCACGGGAAGCAGACGATTGCCAAGTTGTGTAACATTAAAACAAGTGTTGCGAGAGTTTATTGCGGGGATATCACAGAGGAAGCAACTAAAGTTGGATAGTTTTTGGCGATGGTAAGTTGACTTTGAGAAAGCCTTGCATCATTGGAAGCAGAGTAAAGAGAGGAAAATTTATTAACACAAAGACTGAACAATGGGATGAAATAAAAATCTATTTCTCAGCAAATCTTGTATGCCTGAATTATGAAAATGTTTGCAGCATTTGTTTGTAAGAAATAAACCTATTATCAATGTACAGTATATTGTTGGTGTTTGTGTTGTTGTCACCTGCAATTGAATAAGTAGACCATTTCAGAATTCGTAAATTGGGACTCTCTAAAATGCATAATGGGACTCATACTTTTCCGATCAGCGAGTGCCTGGGACTCGCAGGACTCAAACTGTAAAATTATCACTGGAAGTGCATCTTGTGTATCTGTTAAAAACAGAAATAGCACCCATAACTGACACAACACTGCGCCTCTTAATACGGTGTGCCGTATGTTCGTGAAAATATGGTAAATAACAAGTAGCAAATGACCAGAGGTTTAATGTAAATGAAATGTATATCAATTTCAGCCGTTCTCCCTCAAATAGGCGTTGAGTGAGCCGTCGACGTGCAGATGTGCTTCCCCTTCAAAGAGTTTGGCCATGCGTGAAGACATGTCATTCCTGTCGGGTCAAAATTGACGCTTTTGGCCCCTGCATGTGACTCAACACCTGCTGTGCAAATGTAGTGACGTGAGGCTAGAATGGCAACTGACAAGCCGTTCAGCTGGCTGGTGTGCCATAATTCCAGCGGACACGGTTCGGCGGCAAATAAAACACAGGAGCGGTCAAGGTGATCTTTGCACGCACGGTTTAAGAAGAGAAATATAAAGAGATACAGTATGAGGTGATGAGTAACACCAACTGAACATGAAAGAGGAATTTTCACGTGTTTTATTTTTCCTTTGGCTCTGAAGCCAACAGGGCCCATGCCATCATTAAGTTTACAATATTGTACGAGGGTTATTTCTCCTCTAATGTTCTCATCTTATTATAAGTATTTTTTTTTTAACAACCTCACAAATGTCTGTTTTATTTAGTTCCCATCAACACACCTGGTGTTAACAAACCACTATTTCTCAATAAAAGCTGCAATTCGTGAATACAGCAAATCAAGAATGGGTAAACATTTGTGCTCAAGGGCCACATTTGATTATGAAAACGCACGTCATTTGTTGATGAGGTAGATGGGATCATAAAAAGAAAATAACAGGCACCTGCGACATGGAAGAAGATATAGGCAGTACAGTATAAAGACAATTACAAGATTTCTATTATGTTGACAGCTACAAAAAAATGATAAAAGGTGAATGCATTTTCCAAAAAAACGCCAGCTTGTGCCAGTGAACACATTCAATCTTATCTAATATTACATGCAAGGTGTATTTTTTAAGTTTAATTATTAGTGAATTTAGCTTTTATTTATTTATTTTTATGTTGTTTTCGTGATGCATCAGTCAGTTCAGTCCTGTTAGAATTTAGCTGAATCCAGGGATTTGTTTTTGCAGAGAAGGGTATTGTTTCATTGTGCTTACAACTGAGTTAGCAAAACAAATCTTGTAGGGGTATACTGACAATAAGATTTCATTTTTACTTTTTGGACTTTAAGTATATTTGAGAGATTGCATTTTTCGATCTTCATGTTTTGTTTTTTGTTATTCCTCGATCAACTTTTTTTTTTTTTAGAATCTTTATTTGAACAAGTTATAATACTACAATTCTCAACAAACACAAAACAAAATGAACATGTTATTAATACATATACATATTACAAACATTGAAACAAAAAAGAAGCCAGGGGATTTTAAACAAAAATTTCAAATAAGGAGCATATAGCCAGAGTTTTAATAGCTTTCTTGTTTTTAGAATCCATAATAGAACTTAGGTACTGCTTTACTTCTGTTTCAAAAATTAAGAAAAGAGGTTTTAAATTACTCCATCTGGATTTGTGGATATGGAACTTGGCGAGAATAATTATTAAATTTATAATGAAGGTTTGTTTCGTATTTTTTTCCTTACTTTCGTAGAACCCAAATAGTACATTTTTCCAGTATAGTATAAAGTCAGAGTCGATACGATCAATAATAAATCTGGATACAGCTTTCCAAAATGTGTTGGTATATGGGCATTGCCAGAACAAGTGAACCATAGTTTCAGGGTACATTCCACAAAATGAACAATCAACAGAGATGTCTTTCTTGAACCTAAGAAGATAATGCTTGGTGGGATAGTATTTGTGTATCATTTTAAAAGAGATTTCCCTTACTTTATTAGTCAGAAGGTATTTGTATGGGAGAGACCAGATTTTTCCCCAGTGTAGATTATCAACAAAATCAGACCAGTAGGTAATAATGTGTGGGAGTGGTGAAATATCTTTTTGAAACAGGGAACGTATGTTACGGTT